CATCACTTTGGGAATCATAATGTGGGGATTTATGTACAAAATGAGCTGGGGGTCACAAAGGGGTTTTTAGGGGTCTGTGGTGACAACCCTGCTGAAGCAGTTCTGAATCAGGTGTGAGAGCTTTTAAAAATCCCTGTGGATCTGGGAGGGGAAAAGTCTTTAGGTACCTTTTGGTAACTCTTTCTAGCCCGTAAAAAAAAGTGCTTTTTGGTTTTTCTACCTTTTCATACTCTTTTTCTAGTTCTTCTATGGAGAAGGCCAGTTCTTCTCACACTGGACTCCAAACTTTTGGCACCTGGGAATGTTTGTAAGCCACAAGTAACCTAGATGGTCCCAGCCCCCTGTAATTCCCCCAATTTTGATCTTTTTACTACAGCTCCCATAGCTTTTGGATGAAGGGTGGATGAAGTGGTTTGCTCTGCAGCTGGTTTCACTCTTGGTGTTACCAGGCAGAGATGTAAAAACCCCATCCTGAGTTTTGTCTTTTCTTCTTAATCTGATTTATTGTCACAGAGAGTGAAGTGCAGCCGGTCTGACCCGGGGCTCCCACCCCACCCTTTCTCAAACATTGTCACAAAAGTGGTTTGTAATAATTTTTTTAATGACTTGCCTATTTTACAACTTGAATTCTTAATACCTTAGAGGACAAAATAAACTGCATGAATATGGGGGAGCGGGGAGGGGGAGATTTTGAATTAACCCAAACTATTCATTGAAGGTGTTTTACGTTGCTGGGCTTGATTTTTCTGTTGGTTGTAGTGTTGCCATTGGTGTGCTGCCAGGTATTTCACCCCAGTATTTCTATTTACACAGATCTGCCTTTGTTAGCCAGGCAGAGATCTCCTGCCAAGGTTGTTTCCCCTCCTCACAACAAAAATTCCACCCATCCCTCCATCCCCATGCTGGATTTCCAGCCTGGCCTCAAACGACATTCCACTACCCCCAGGCTTTTAAAGAAAAAAAAATATCTGGAGTACTGAAAAAAAGGACTTTTATTGTCTGCAAAGGTTGGTGGTGGCAATTCTGTCCCATGGGTTGTCACCCTGCCAGCAGCAGGATTGTGGGGAGGGGGTGGCTGTAGGTGAAAGCCAGTCGTGGTGTAGCGCATCCCCATCCCACATGGTCTGTGTACTCGTTGGAAATAAACTTTTGGATTTGTTTCAAGCCTTTGGAGATGCTGCTCTGTGCTCCCTGGGGAGGTGGGATCCCATCCTGGTTGTGGTTGCATGCAGTTCCCAAGGGGTTCTCCCTGTCAGGGAGGGTTTAGCAGGAGTTTTGGGCCTGGGGTTTCAGCAGCCCCACAGCATGGGGCAGGTCAGGGGAGAGCAGACTCATTCAGGGTGGGACATTGATCCTTGAAATTGAGAGACACCTAAAATTCACAATTTCATTGTCCATCCTTCTCCCCTCTCCTTCCATCTTCTCCCAGCCCTGGCACTCAGCACAGGAGCAAATCCAGAGGAGGCCATGGAGCTGCTCCAGGGGTTGGAGACTGCTCTGGGAGAGCTGGGGGTGCTCACCTGGAGAAGGGAAGGCTCCAGGGAAACCTCAGAGCCCCTTGCAGGGCCTGAAGGAACCTTCTAAAGGAGGACAGATTTTTATAGGGCCTGGAGAGACAGGAAAAAGTGTTTTAATCTAAAAGAGGGTTGGTTCATGCTCAGAAATAAGGAAGAATTTTTTAATGGGAGGGTGGGCAGGCCCTGGCACAGGGTGCC